GTCCCAGACCCGGTCCTCGCGCACGTCGACGGCGGACGCCGTCTCGAAGGCGTCCGCGAAAAATGCGATCGCCTTCGACACCTCAGCGCACGCGCCGCTGCACAAAAAGGTGCCGCGGTCGCACTCGAGGACCGGCTCGCACGCCGCCGCGAAGAAGCCCTCGTCCGACAGCCCCGCGTAGACCGCGTCAAACTGCATCTTTTTCCCCTCGTATTCGATGGATGCTCGCCGATGTTCATCTCCTGAATGCACGGGCCGTCAAGCCGGGCGACGACGCGCAGCATCACCCGGCCCGGGCTGCCTCTCGGGAAACGCCTCTTGATTTGCAAAAAGGCCTTCGGACTGAGGAGGAGCATGCCCTTGTCGACGCCGCCGGTGGCGCTGCCGGGCGCCCCGTTCGGGAGCGGCGGGAGGCGCCTGTCCCAGGTCGACATCTTGCGATGGGGCGAGGGCGAGACCGGGAGGCCGATCGGCGGCGGAAAAGCCGCGCGCGTCGGTTTCGAGGGGCTCGAGGCCATGCGCGACGCGGCGGGCGAGACGAATTCCGGCTTGGTCTCGATGGAGAGCCCTCGGAAACTTTCGGGCACCTTGAAGGTCGGCCCGTCGTCCTTGGCCTCGGCCTTGGCCTCCGCGGGCGCCGCGTCCGCTTCGGGCGCGCGCGGCGGGTCCTTGGCCGCCTTTGGCTCGTCCCAGTACTCCGATGTGGGGAGCTCCTCCTTGTAGGCCGCATGCGCGGCCTCGGCGTGGTAGGCCGCCGCCTGCTCCTCGGCGAGGCCCGCGGCGACCTCGACGGACTCGTCGAGCGGCAAGAATTCGTCGGGCGGGTTCCACTGGCTCTCGCCGGTAGCCGTGTTGACGTAGTAGCAATAGTTCGTGTCGAGGTCCAGGAACTCGTGCCAGAGGACGTCGCCGTCCGACGAAACCGCGCCGCCGCCGGCGTCGTAGGCCCCGTCCTTGGGCCCCTCGTCCTCGGCCGCCTTGTCGTCGGCGCCGCGCCTCGCGGCGAGCTTCCAGACCGCGGCCGCCTTGGCCTGGTCCGAGGCGCCGTCGTCCCCGAGCATGCCGTGCAGGCGCTTCTGGACCGTGCCGAGCTCCGCCTCGAGGGCGCACCAGGCGACGAGGTCCGCGGCGATGGCCGACGGCGCCGCGCCGCGGGCGCCGCGGCGGCCCCTGCCGATGTCGCCGATGTCGCCGTCGCCGTCGCCGTCGGGGCCGGCGGCGTCGCCGCGGCGGTGGGCCTCGGCCTCGGCCTCGGCCCGGCTCGTGAGGGCGTCGTAGATCTCGGTCGCGTGGCTCGGGAGGTCCTCGCGGCGGTGGAGGAGCCCACGGATCGTGAGGTAGCCGAGCTCGAGGTTCGCGTCGCGGACCGCGCCGTTCCGCACGCAGCGACCCCGCGCGACGGCGACGGCGCCCCGCAGGGTCTCGCAGCGCGCCAGGGCCGCGGCAACGCACGCGGAACGCTCGTCGTCGCCGCCGACAGCGGCGCTTTGCGCGGCCTCGGCACGCGCGGCGCTGTCCTCGAAGGCGGTCTCCTGCGCGACGCGGAGCTCGACGGCGAAGCGCTGGCGCACGAGGTCGCTGTGGAGGCGCCGCGCGCCCCGAGGCTCCTGCGCCCAATGCAGGCCGTTCATCTCGCTCGCGACGGCCACCAAGGCCTGGGCCCAGCCGACGAATGGCCGGTCCTTGTCGGGCAGCGCGCCGCGCTCGTGCGCCTCCAGCAGGCTCAGCGCCGTCGCGTGCTGCAGCTCGAAGTCGTCGTTCGCCGCCTCCGCGCTCTCGAAGGCCTCCTCCCAGACCGTCGACCATTGCCAGTCGACGCCGCCCCCCGGCGTGGTCACGGGCGTGAGATCCGCGTCGCTGTCGCTGAAAACCGAGTGCTTGGCGCCGAGCGGCGTCTCCGGCGTCGCGCGGGCCTTGGCGTCCGCCGCCGCCGACAGCTGGCGCTCGAGCTCGACGGCCTCGCCCGTCTCCAACTCGTCGTTCCGCGCCCGCATCGTCCGCGCGAATGCCGCGAAGTCGTCGATGTCCAGCAGGTCCTGCAACA